AGGATGGTGAACTGCAATATTTGCAACAGAAGCTACTGACACGTTTTGTACTGCCTGCAAAGTATTTTCCCATTTGAAACTCATGAGTGTGTTTCCCCCAGGAGGGGAATCCACAGTTATGGGTTGGTAAAAGCCTTCACCCATCAGTTGCTTTATAAGGTACCTGTTATAAATTATTTGGGAGGAAAAGGTAGACAAACAACACTTCTTAAAATATTTATTGTAAGTTATAACTGTTGTGTTTTTATTATGTGTTAATTGAGGACAGAAGCAGGTTTGAATTCTCCACTGCAAACAAGAGAAAATAAAGTACGTTTTACAGATAAGAACTGTACATTTTAAAACACATCCTGCAGCATTAAGAAGGCCAATCTTCTGGTGGGGTCTGCACTACTTACAGGCTTATTACTGAGCAGTTCTTGTTTTCACAGACGTGGAATGAAATGCCTCACAGTTTTGATTTTGCCCATGTTTTGTTTTGAGGGGGTGAGTGGATGAACATGGTTTTACCGAACAATGTCGAGGGTGTATCAAAAACATTTGGAAAGCATGGCATTGAAATCCTCCATAATCTTCTACAATGTCTGGGCTCTTGCCTTAGAAATACTGGTGCACTTCTGTGATTTCTTCTTCCTATCACCTCCTTCTTAGCAGCACTGTCTTTTCTTTCCTGATCTTTCTGGGAGCTCTTGATCATTCATCTTACCCAGTCTCCGTAGTGCATCAGCACTCCCATGGGATGGAGCAACTCTGTGGACTGGCACAACAAACTGCTTCCCAAAACTACAGGGACAACAAAAGGGAAAAGATACTTTCCTAAACACTTGAAAACATTTTTTGTGAACTCTTTTAAGTGACATGCAGCAGGTGATACTTGTTTGAGGGCAGTTAGTTCAGGGCTGCTGTGTGGCTGCAGGTCCAACCACGTTCAAGAAGTATGTTGGAGATTGTTGTAAAGTCTTAATATGAGAGCAATATAATGGATGTTGCAAAACATGGTAGGAGAAAAGGGAGAATTTGCTGACGTGCAAGATGAAGAGTAAAGGCATGTGAGGCATGTGCAAGGACAGAAGGGTGAAAGGATGATCGGTTGAGTGGAAAGCGTGCAGAGGCCTGAACCGGAAACAGCAACA